ATTATCCCATAACCTGGTACAAGATCTTGTGATCGTGTGTTCATTTTATTTCATTAAACAACATGATCACAAACATCACCTTATCTTATGCAGACAATTGCAATAATTGTTCCAAGCCGTCTCACAGTCTTCCACAACGTTAACAAGTACCATGCTTCTAGGACCAGCCACAATCTCAACATGGGGAGGTCCGGCCAACAAAGGACCCAATGCACACCAGCCAACACTGAAGCAGTCAGAACCCTCTTCGAAGAGCAACATGCTAGAGAAGCATGAGAACCCTAACATTTGGAAACTCATGTTGGAACTGCTCAAAGACAGTGCAAACACTTTTCGTTTGGAGGTATTCAGTAACCAGGAAAGACCTCTGCTGAGCGGTGAACTGTGGTTAGGCCATTTTACACCATACAGGCTAAGGTAGGAAGAGAGACAACTGCACAGGTGCTGACAGGTTTCATGTCCAGGACTTATGCAACTGTCTGCATAAGATAAGGTGATGTTTGTGATCATGTTGTTTTAATGAAAGAAAATGAACACACGATCGCATGATCTTGTACCAGGTTATGGAATAATTACATACAATACCCACTGAATACATGTACATGTAATGTACATGTACAGTACATTACATGTAAAGTTAGTTGGCTGGACTGACTTGTCCACGACCACTTCACGTGTTTGTTAACCCTTGATTATGATCCACTTAAAAATGAGATATTTTTGTTTCGATGTTAGGACATGAAAGGGTTAATGGCATGCGTGCAAAACACCATCTAAACTTTTAATTTTATGTGATAGGATTGTATTTTTAACCCTCACATTTCCTTGCACAAAGGACATGAATTTTGTGAATTTCCAACTGTCCCTGCTCACTGGAGCATGAAGTATTAACTAAGATTTTGGTGTCATTCGAAGCAGAATGATGCCCTCTAYCAATGGTTGCRCCCACATTTTCAAAATTATTATCTATGTTAATTTTATGGCAATTTTTCTGAGTGTATTTTTTTTTCTGATACACCCTGTATATTTTGGGTCAGTTTCAGTGATGTACAGGCAGTTCTCAACCACAAATTATTATTTTGTTTCAGCAGTGTTGGTACTGGTTTTGCAAATAAATACCTTAAATGTGAGAACCAGTGTGGCTGAAAAGTTTGCATTAACATCTGTTGGTAATTTCTTGGCGCCTGGAGGTACTGAAAGCCACACTTAATGGATACTGTATCTGAAATGTTATTAAACCTTGAAAAGAAATGACCAGATGGCCATAAATATGGGAATAACACTGGGTCTCTTTCATGAARCTCATAAAGTCAATCACATTTGACTTTTATGCACACCAAAACCTATCAAACCCAATGAGTTTTTGGTCTTTAGTTGGTGCCTGACTGAGGAGTTTATCCAGCAAAACCACAGAACTTTATTTTTAGGTCTTTGTGATAAACAGTTAGAGATGAAAACAAATATAAACAAAGTGATTAAGTATATGTTTGTATATATATATGAACCCTTTATGATTTTGTCCAAACATCAGTAGCAGCTAATAAAATTGTTCTTACTAAAACCAGGTATAATGAAGGCAATATGCCCAAAAATATGCAATATCTTGAGAAAAATCAAATGCAATATAATGTGAAATACTGTCATTACAATATCAATGTACACAATATGAATAGAACCAAAGACTGCCTGCACTGCAATACATAATATGTTGTTATAATATAATCCAAGTGCCACGCATCCATGACCTTCCTGCCAATCATGTACTTGACCAATGTGACAAAAAGGGCTTCACCCACAGATTAGATRATAGTGTTCAAGTTGGTAAAGTGCATGAAAAGAAATGTGAGCACCATAAGGACAGAACAGAGAAATGATAATTGAGAAAAATATGAGTTTAACCCAGAAGATACTCACGGTAGTCACCAGACAGTTTTGCAATCAAATGTTTTTCAAATACTGTTCAGCCCTATTTTTAAAAGGCAGCCAATCAGAAGGTTGGGGTCTTGGTGGCTATATTTTTGAGCCTTACTGATCTGTACAGTCTGAAGTTATAGACTCTGCTTTGACATCTTTGTCACCCAAATATGACTGTTCCAGTCTGAAACTCAAAAACAAAACAAACAAAAAAACACCCTTTACATTCCGTCTTTTTTTGTCGAAAAAGATAGTGTTTAATTAAAGTTTTGTCTCTTAATTGATTTTTATAAGAATTAATCAGCTGTATGATGCAGCGGCATGTTTCTCTCCAGTACCACTGTTTCTCCTTCATCTCGGTGCCAAAAAATCCAGCAGCTTCATTAGTCATGACTGCAGCACCTAATTAAGTGTGTGCCATTCGTTTCAATTTTTCTGTAAATTTAAAAGAATCTCTGATGTTTCAAAGTGCCTCTGGGCCCCTTCTGTCTCTGATGCCATTAAACTCGAACATTTTCTGTGCCTACACTTTGAGCCAGCGCTGCCTGTTTTCAAATCAAAACTGTGAAAACTGATGAAAGTTAAAAAGAAAAAAAAAGCTGCTGTGACAGCTTATAAATAGTTTTAAGAAGTAATGCTTGAGTTCTGGGTGACTTTTAGGTTTGCTACATGTTTCAGATGACTAACTGCTTTACATAGTGCTACCTCTCAACGAGCTGATTCAAATAAATTGGAGGCTGATTTGAAAGATGCATGCAAATAAGCCTATTTGTTCAATGTGGAAAGCCATTGTAATTACCATGAAATGCATGCTTTGTGCTCCTCCCTCCCTCTTCCTCCAACATAACTGCTACAGATATTGGATAGGGCACCTTCTCACCACCCTTCCTCCCACTTTCTGCCTCCCCGTTTACATGCTGGCCAATTACTGTTACAGATGGAAAAAATGTCTCCTGACCTGCGGAATTTACGAGCGGGGGTAAAAAAATAYGAAGAAGAAGAAAAAAAATCACACTCGACACTTAGTCCGATTCAAAGAAATGTAGTTAAAGTTTCTCGGCGCTGATGAAGACATGATGAAACTGGCTACATATGACAACTTGGCCACACGACAAAGAGCTGATGAAACAGTGAGACAAACCTGGTAACTGTTTGGAGCCAATGTCGGAACGCAAACAGAGCTGCACTATGGAGCTGAATAATTTGGGTGGGGGGGGCATGTGTGCGTGTTTGAGGTCGGGGGACGTGGGAGGTACTGTTGTTTAGACTTCATAAAGGGCGCACGCAGCAGTTGCGTGATTTCTGCCCGTCACAAATCATGTTGCCTCTTGCTGGGGTACATGGAAGTCATGCTGCTGATGGATTACTGTATGACCCCAAAAGGTTGAAGGGCTTGCACGATTGAGAAAATGTCAACTGTTTCAGATAAAAGTATTAAATAGTAAGAAACTTGTACTTCAGCAATGGTTGTACCTCAATACAACCTCTATATTTCCGATACAGAAAAGAAACACTGAGCCTACTAAAGGATGTTCCTGTTACAACCCAGAAGCAGGCTATAACTGAAACCATGTGTTAGATATGAGCATACAGCACAATGCTGACAATGAGTGCATTCATAGTGGACAAACAAACAGCGTGCTGTCTGTTTGTCAGTCTGTGCGCTCATATATTTCTAATTAAACCGGACATGTTTTAACTAAAAAGGGTTCATTTTCAGCAGCGTGTGCAAAAMCCCATTGAGTTCAGGGGTAGTTAAAAAATGTAAAATAAAAAGTAAATTACCTGTAATTATTTAGTGGGGGGGGGGGTTATTTCTATAACATGCAATTTAATTGCATCATGTTGAGAGTCATGAAAAAGGAGCGGTTCATTTTGACAGTTGATACCCAGGATCCTCTTTTTCATCACATTTGAACTGTAATGCAGGGTGCTGATGCAATGATCCTCCACTGATGTTGAGGAATATGAAACCGTGTAAGCAACAGCGCCCATGGTGACTGAATCACATCCCTCTGGTCAGAGTTTAGTGGTGCAATGAGGCTCAACAAAAAGGTAACACAGAGTCGTTTACACCTGTTCTAAGCTGCCGGTTCATTTGACAACAAAGTTTGTCAAGAAGGAAGTCAGCAACTTCTAAAAGACAACAAAAAAAATGCTTAAAGGTGCAAGTTAAGTACATTTATAAATTGGGCTTTCAAATAACAACCCACTGGAATTTGACACCAATGTGACAATAATACAAAATGAGACTTCTCACTGCAGCCATACAAAAATGACAGGAATTTTTCACCACAACTATACAAAAATGAGAAGAACTTATCACCACAACTATGTAACAATTGAGGGCCTTCTCACCACAACAACACGTAAAAGGACCTCACACCTACCATGCAAAATAAGTGCAACTTCTCACTATACAAAGCAAAGATAACTTTGCAACACAACTATACAAAATAGGAGGAATTTTATATTGCATCTACAMAAAACTAGGACTTCTCACCTCAACCACACAAAACTTGAGGGATTTCTTATCACAACTACTAAACTACAAGAGGGACTAGGACTTTGCACCACAACTTTATGAAACTAAAGTGGGTTTTTTTCTCATAACTTTACAAAATAAGTCTTGTCACCACAACTGTGCAAAACGAGAGACTTCTAACTAGGACTTTCCACCCTACACAAAAGTCCTTCTCACCACAACTATACAAACCAGAGGCTTGCTATACTTCCACAAAACTTCTCGCCACAAAACCTATAAAAGGTGAAAGACCTCTAACCATACCTAAACAAAACTAGGACTCTACCCCAAAACAACATAAAACAGGAGGGTTTTCTCACCACCACTATACAAAACAAGAGAGACGTCTATCCATATCAACACAAAACCAGGACTCCTCAAAACGAGGGGTTTCTCWCCACAATCCCTACAAAGAGATACCTTTAACCCAAAACTAGGACTTCCCACCACAACTGCACAAAACTAGATTAATTCCTCACAACTAAACCTGAGGCTTCTAACCATGCCTCCACAAAACTGGGACTTCTCACCACAACTAYACAAACCGAGAGGCACTTCTCACCTTATTGAAGTTGTAGTAGCCCAAACAGTGGGCAAAATCCAGGTTGGGTGGCTCTCCCGGGATAGAATTCCCCCCAGCAGTCGGGTAAAACCTTACATCCATGGTGGTGTGTGGGGGCAGACGCGCAGCTGTAGCCTGCTGTGCTCGGAGCACCGTTTGTTTTACAATCCAAGCGCTCCGACAGGGATGGAGAAGAAACGGAGCCAAGCTTTGTTGGTGGGGAAAGATACTACGGTGAGCAAAAAAAAAAAAAAAAAAAAAAAAAAAGGAGAGCGGGCACAGATAAAGTTTCGGTATCCTTCTCCTACACCTTAGTTGAGTCGCTTCATTTCTCAGAAAGCCTGAATAAACTGGACGGAGCCCAARAAGCTGTCCCTCACAGAGCAGCGGCCGCTGTGCTCCTCTGCATTTACACACAGCTGCTGTGTACAAAGAACAACCAGAGGGACCGGCGAGTGGGAGCGAGTCCACCTCCTCCTCCTCCTCCTCCTTCACAAGCAGGAGGCAAAAGAATAAAGGCAAAAATAAAATAAGATTAGWGCAAAGTAAAGTCCGCACGTCAAAACACGATGAGAAGTTTGAGAAACGGTCCGTGCGTCCTCTCCGCCGTGTGTCAGCCAGCGGTTAAATCTAGTCTCCAACTTGGAAAACTAGTTGGTGTGAGCAGAAAACAGAGTCTGCGACTGTAAGACGAACGGAACGACACTCCACAGATGGTGTAATTAGTGAGCTGGATGTAGGACAGAGAAGACCCAAGTTCAGCTTGGACTGTCCCAGTGATGAACAAGAAGGCAAATGTGCGAACAAGTCAGCCACGCCCCAAACACACTAAGCCACGCCCAATGAAAACACTGCATTCAGCTCCATGCTGACATGGAGATTAATCACAATTAAATGTTATATTTGCACCTCTTTATGTTGTATAACTGACTTTAAAAAATTATCTTATGAATGTGTTAATACAAAGCATGTTTTTTTATTATTATTTTCTGCACTCCAACATTTTGTTAGTAAATACATTTTCTTCACAAGGGTGTAACTTTGGGTCTACCATTGGGGGGTTATGCTCTAAAACCCTGCATGTCATTTTTAGCATTTATGCTTAAAACGTAGATATATGACACTGTATTTTTTCAATCAGGTCAAAGTTACATAAAGACAACAAGAGAGTTGCATCTGTCTACTGAACCAGTTAATTCCTATTGCGTTTGAGCAAACAATGTCATTTTATTTGGGGGGGGGGGGTGTATTTTGACTGGATCAAATTATTGTGGGGGTCATAACCCCCCTAACCCCCCTGCAAATTATGCCTATGTTTCTTCACAGGTAAACAGTCTGTTATTTTTATTATTCATTTACTTGCCTATAAGTTGTTTATCCCCCCGCCCCCATTTTTTTTATTGTCTGTTTTACACAACCACAACTAGATGTCCTATGTGTTCTGTTTCAGTTTAATCTTCCTAACTTGTGTAAGCCTAGTTTTGTTTTAGGGCCAAATATTTCCATTACTCAAAATGGAGCCAAACTTTTTCATAAACTAAACAAAAAATATGTAAACAATGAACTACAGTAATATTTTTAACTCATGACCCAATACAACACTCAGTGCTCTGTTTCTGTTTTCCCTTTCCCTTTGCTTTGAACGTATTCTGATTTTTTAAGAAGTATAGTCATCTCCTCTAACAGCCGTCTTCTCCTCCATATCCATCTGCTGTGGGTGGACAGTTTCTGCTGCAGACAGATTGAGTTCTGTAGTCAGAACATTGACTTTCTCATAAAACTGACTATGACTTGTGTGAAAGCAAGGGACGTGGATCTTTGCTTTTCCCAATGTCTAACAGTTGAGTTTTTAGATATCTTATTATGACCCTGTAAAATAAAATAAAAAAACACAGATCAGTCAGCATCACATATTGCCAGGTTTTAGTGCTTATAGCTACATATTTCTGCATCCAATCTTCATAGTGCTCTGCAAAGACGCAATGTAATGGTATGTTGCCTTTTTAAAATCTCTAAGGTCTGCTAAGTGCTTTCCCATGGTTCTCACCCACACATCTACACTAATACATATTTTACACCCTATATACACCTTTAAAAAATAAAAAAAACAAGAAATCTCACTCATACACCAACAAAAATCAGGGTGCAGTATGAGGTTGGGTGTCTTGAATGCTTCAATACAGGAACTGTGATTGAACAGTCACTCACCACCAAGACATCCTTCCTACACTTACGTTAGTGCAGTATTCTATGAAAAATCATGCAGCAGTACACTTTATAACTTGCAAAATGATGTAAAAAGTAGAAGACTTGAGATGGGCAAACAAACTTTTTGAATGGAGCAGGGCGTGCGTGCACGGAGTTACAAAAGTTTGGAGGTGCACGACCAGCCATTGCACGGGGCCGCAGGGGCATTTCTTAGCTTTAGGGTTTAACCTAGCCTCATATCCAAAGTTTACTTATTTATTTATTTATTTATTTATTTATTTATTTATTTATTTATTTATTTATTTATTTATTTATTTATTTATTTATTTATTTATTTATTTATTTATTTATTTATTTATCTTTTAAAAGGACTGAATACAGGCCCAACTGCACTGGTTAAATATTTACAATTGTGCCATGAAATGATGTAATGCCACTTAGCAACACTGTTGCAGGTGATTCACTAGTAGGAACATGACTGTTGAGGATCAGCAAGACAAGTTGTCCTCCACAAATCAGAGTTTCGGTGGTCTGAGTCTAGGCATTGAGGGGTTGRTTTATTTTTTAAACAAAATACTGGGTCCTTGAGGTAATCCCAAAACGTTCACCAGTGAGCAAGTGTGAGAACCTTAGTGGCAGCAAGGTTTGCAGAATCAGTTGATCATTTTCGCAGCGTTTAGCATTTTCCACTTTTTCTTTGACTCTAAAACTAAAAACATACATTAAACTGGTGTTGCAGTTTGCTTTATAACTCTGCCCAAACTGAATCAACAAGCAACTTAAACTGATTAGATCCATTCTTTTACTATGGAAGAGTACAGTCTAATAAAACTTGCAGTAGTGGAAACTAATTATCGGGCACAGCATTAAAATGCTATTTCTGTAGGATTAAAGTGGAGGATATTATTCTCAAAGTTACCATCTAGCATAAAAGAAACTGAATTCATTAATATAATTGATCACTAATTATAGTCATTTGTTTACAGAGTGAAAAACAAAAAGCTATTATTTTGCCAAATATAATGTTATCTTCCTAGGATCCTTTGTACACAGCAGATTAATTCTGACTGTTTATTCAATACAATTATCTTTATTTTTATTACGGTTACTAATTTCAATGATGATTCCATCAAACATGTTTCATCCTCACCCTGCAGCTAAAAGTGCTTCAGTGTCTAATAAAACATCATAGAAATGTTAACAAACAGTTCACTTCAGGTGTATTTTGTGCGTTTTCTCTGTYTATTTTTGTGGATCCTTTTTTTCCCCTGTGTTAAATGACACATGAAATGGTTTGGGTCAGTGCAAGGGGTGGTGATTTTCTTCACAAAACATGCCATGAAATGACATTCAAAAACTAGTAAATATGCACACAATAAAATGCAGCCAGTCTGTTATGTTACTATTACATAACTCTTAGTGGAGAAAAATAAAATAAAATGAAAATAGCCTATGCACATAATGCCTTCTGACTGATTTGATTTGTAGTCTGCCATGCACTTTTGACTTTTAAAGGGGACAAATCATGCAAAATCCACTTTTTTAGCCATTAAATGCATTGTGTTGTGTACTTGGAGTCTCTAGGAGTGCAGAAAATTTGAATTTAGTCTAGCTATCTTTATACTCTTTTTGGGATATTTTTCAACCCGTCCAGTTTCCTCTATTTTAAAACATTTTCTGAATTATTACATCACAGTATTTGCAACAAAACTGCCAAATAATGTCAACAACTACAATTTCGTCATCTCAATTCCCTCTCACGCTGGGTCAGACTCTGGCTCCATGTAAGGCTGATTGAACATTCCTTCTGTTGTTGACATCTTTTAATTATTTTGTAAAAAAAAAACTAAGTTTCTGCACCACTATACAGTCATAACCCTCTATCAAGCTAGAATTGGCTACTCTTGGAACTCTAGGGGGTGGTGTGTAGCGTGTCTTGTTTGTATTTAAATAGACAGCATTAAAATGACTTGATCTTTTATACATCTCAGAAAAGAGGTGAAAGAGGGGCTTGTGGAGTTACAATAATATTTCAGAGGAATTCAGACCAAAGCATTGTAATTCCACTTTGTATAGACCCCAACCAGAGGTGTCAAAAGTATTCACATTCATTACCTAAGTAGAAGTACTAGGGTTTTAAAATACTCTTTTGGAAGTAAAAGTATCAGCTCAAACTTTTTACTCAAGTAAAAGTATAAAAGTGCTGATTTTAAAACTAGTTAAAGTATAAAAGTAAAAGCAATGAACACTTTAAAAAAAGCCATTAAGGATAAAGGCTCAGGCTTATGCCACACGGTTCTAGAGTGCCCCCACCCCCTCCCACACCAAGTTTTTCTTCTAAAGTCAATAATGACATAATTTTAAATTAAAATGTTAATGTTGAAAAATTTGGTATTTACTGACTAGACTACTTGTTTCAGCCACAATCATCTTCATTCTAGGCTGCATCTGCTACAGTRTGTCCTGCTGGMATGTGATGTGATTTGTGTCCTACAGGTGTGATGGAGTGTGTTCAATCAAGTAGGATGTCAGAATGGTATATATTTACATTTTTCATCCAACCACAATCAAATTCGCTCTATCCATGGGCTCCATGTATCTGGATTTATTACTTTTTCTGAACAATGAAAAGACGGAATAAAAACAAGTCAAAGTTACATAGAAATGAAATACTTTTTGCATTTTTAAAAAAGTAAGGAGTAGAAAGTACAGATAATTGAATTAAATGTAAGGAGTAGAAGCAAAAAGTAGGGTGAAAAAAATATTCCACTAAAGTATATATAACCAAAATTTCTACTTAAGTAAAGTAACAAAGTATTTGTACTTAGTTACTTGACACCTCTGACCTCAACTGGATGATTTACATTTGGAAAAATAATTTTAAACCATTATATCTTTTCTTAAAAAAAGACATATTGTTGCAAGTATTAATTTTGGGTGTTTATTTGAAAACGTTTTTTGAGACAATGTAATGCCTAACTGGAAAGATATAAAACAGGGGGTTAACTAAATGTTGGTTAACCTAATATAAAATGATATGCTAATGTTTACACTGTGTGCAGTGAACTAAAACATACTAAACTGTAGTGAAGGAAATATATATTAAAAAAAGTAAAAAAAAATGCTAAACAAATATAGAACTATATATTCTGCACATTTGTAAACAAATACACAGGATTATTAATAACATACTAGCGGATTTTTAAAATTTAATATTTTTATTTTTATTTTTGTTTTTCAGCTGCTCCCTGTCTACAACAATTCTGGCAATTAATCTACACCAAATGCCCTTCCTGATGGAACCTGGGCTTAAACCTGCAGCCTCAGGATTACAAGACAGCTGCACTGACCATTGAGTCTTTATGATACTATTTTCAATACCCTGTAACRAAATGATATTTTGTTCATATCATTCACCAGAATTTTACTAATAAAAACATAAATCTCAAAAAAATATGAAAGTGGAGGAGGGTGTTGACATGTTACATTAAGCCTTCAGATGAGAAAATGTCTAGTTTATCATACAAAATAAATCATTTTTATTTAATAAAAGAAAATAAAAATAATCAATGCTTATGGCAATAAAATACATAGAACA